CCAGGCTCGACGTCAGCGGTGGTCGGGCTGCACCGGGGCGATGAGGCGGGACAAGGCGTCAGCACGACGTTCTCTGTGCCTGGCTTGTGAACGACGTCGAAGTCCATGTCCTGAAGGGCGAGCGCCCAGCGGCCCAAGCGGCCAGTCGGGTCCTTGAGGTTGCGAAGCCACTGCAGGGCGCGGTGGTCGGTGACGACGGTGAACCGCTGGCCATGGAGGTAGGGGCGGAACTTCTTGACCGCCCAGACCAGCGCAAGACACTCCTGCTCTGTCACTGAGTACTTGCGTTCAGCCTTGTTCAGTACGCGCGAGATGAAGGCGACGGGGCGAAGCTTGCCGTCGCCGTCCTGGCGCTGCTGCAGCACAGCACCGAGACCCACACCGGATGCGTCGGTGGCGAGGGTGAACGGGCGGGCGAAGTCAGGGTAGACCAGCACCGGGGACGAGGCGAGCGCAGCCTTCAGGCGACGGAACGCCACCTGCTGCGGCTCGCCAAACTTGAACTCAGTGCCGTCACGAAGTAGCGCGTACAGCGGTGCCCCGATCTCGGCGAACTTGTCGACAAAACGGCGGTAGAACCCAGCCATGCCGAGAAAGGCGCGCAGCTCGCGCACGTCCTTGGGCGCCGGCATGCTGAAGATGGCGTCGATCTTGGCCGGGTTGGGCTTGACCCCGTGCTTGGACACCAGGTGCCCGAGATACTCCAGCTCGTCCTGGATGAAGCTGCACTTGTCGCGCCGCAGCTGTAGGTTGACCGCACGAAGGCGCTCGAGGACAGTGCGCAGAGTGGCCAGATGAGCGTCGAAGGTCGGCGAGAAGATGACGATGTCGTCCAGGTACATGCTCACACCGGCGACGTCAGCGAGTACGGTGTTAATACAGCGCTGGAAATGGCCCGGTGCATTGCGCAGACCGAAGGGGACGACGGTGTATTCAAACACACCGTTCTTGGTGACGAAGGCGGTCTTGGAGCAGTCGTCGGGGTGCAGCGGTACTTGGTGGTACGCAGAGGCCAGGTCCAGGCTACTGAAGAACTTGGCACCCGCCATGGCCTCCAGGGTGTCGTCCAGGCGCGGGAGCGGGTAAGCGTCGGGAACGCTGACGGCGTTCAAGCGGCGATAGTCAACGACAAGCCGGTACTCGCCTGTCTTCTTCTTGATGAGGATCACGGGGGACGCCCATGGCGAGAAGGACGGACGCACTATGCCAGCAGCGATGTGGTCCTTGACGATGCGCTCGACCACCTCGCTCTCGTGGTGAGAGAGGCGGTAGGGGCGGCGTGCTACAGGTGGTGTGTCGCCTGTCTCGATGCGCATGCTGGGGAGCATGGCCTTGGTCAAGGGCTCTCCAGGCTTGGCGAACGCGTCCTTAAACTCCTCGAGCAGCCGCTGGAGCTGGTGCTGTTGGCCGCGCGAGAGCATCGACGCAGCGACTTGGGTGGGTGCATCAGCGGTGTCCACTGCGTTGACGTCCGCTTGCACGGCGTTGCCCTCTGGCAGGATTAGGCAGCGATCGGCAACGTCAACGAGGGCGCGCATGGCGCTGAGGATGTCGGCACCCAGCAGCACAGCATGGGCGAGGCGATCAACGACGATGACGCTGTGACGAAGCTGCGCCGTGCCGATGGTGAAGAGGCAGTCGGTCGTTCCGAGCACCTTGAGCACACCCTGATCAGCGGTGCGGAGAACGGCGTCGGAAGAGTTGAGCGGGCCGTCGCGGCCCCGGCGATACACGTCGCTGGACATGAGCGTGACGCTGGCGCCCGTGTCTATGAGGGCGCTGATGCGGTCGCCGTTGACGTCGATGGGGACCCTCAGCGACACCCCACCGCGCACCTGTGCGGCACACACGTCAGCGTCGGGCGGCGTCTCAATGTCATCCGTGTCAACGGCGTGCACTCCGCGGCGACTCCGCTGTGGCCCGTTACGCCGCTGCTCGGCGCCTTGCGCTTCATGCAGTCCTTGATCACGTGACCGGGTTTCTTGCAGTAGAAGCAGCGGACGATGCGAGGGTTGTCGTCG